GTTGATCTCCTCTGACTTCTTCAATCCCTTGCTCTGTTGGGAACCGTAGTAGTTGATGCAATGTTGAGGGAACTGCCCCCATTGCATGAAACCATGGTCTTCCCAAGATGATCTTATATGGCGAGGGTGTGTCAATCACCATAAATTCTGTCTTGATCTTCTTAGTACCAGCTTGTACTTCCATGCTTGCTGTGCCCAGTGGCCATGTCGGTGTTCCATTGAAGTCAGTAAACAGTAGTGGTTCCACGAGGGAACCGACAGAGAATTCTGTCGCAGTAACAGTAACAGTAAACAGTAGGTACTAAGGATGCCACAGTACAGTTCAGAAATAAAGGACATACATTCATTCAGTAATACCAGTTCAGTAAACAGTTCAGTTCAGTATTCAAAAGATATCAGTTGAACATATCTTTACACAATTGTTACTCACAGAGTTTGGGCTACAGTATGCTAGAGCGTGTCTCCCCAGTCGCCAACCCTACACAGTTCACAGGTCGAACACACACTAAGCTACACAGTTGGGAAATATCATAACTTAATTCCTAATTTGCCTTGATGTGTTCTACATCTATATCCTCAATAAGATGTCGAGCGAGCAAGGGCGGACATGCAACTTCGAATGCAATTTTGCATTTTGCGTCGGGGGCGCTGCCCCTCGACCTCGCCTGAGCGCTGCCCCGGACCCGCCAAGGGACGCTGCCCCCTGGACCCCCACGAGTTGACCGGGTAGCTCGATCCTTGTCATAATCAGCGAAGTGGCAATCTTGAAAGTATTAACATCACAAACTTCTCTGCAAGGCACAGTTCGGGTTGGATTCACATTTAAAACTCATATCCTCACTGAAATATAAGAGCGAATAAAATTACAACTGAAAGGAGTTTTGTCAAACAGAATTGCCAAGAATAAAAACCTAACAATTTTCCATACAAGTTTAATATTCTGTTTTTCAAAAATGAACATAGAGAACAAGAAATGTACCAAACAATTTAAGTGCTTTGAGACTGACCAACTGATTTGATGTATTAATTGGTTGAGAATGCTACTCGTCCATTGAGAAATTAAATGCATGTTGCATGAGATGATTATTTGAAATTGTGTTGTATTTTACTTGATTATATACAAGGGCGGAGGCACGTAAGGCCCAAGCGTCACGTGTCCCCCTCAATTTTTGAAAAATTATGCTTCTGTCTCTTGTAAAAAAAAAATTATTTTAATTTAAACCTTTCATGTAATGTTATGAAATTTTTATATCACTAAATTTTTTTTTTCTTACTTTTAAGTATATATATATATATGTTTAATTTGTTAATTTAAATGTTTAATTATATTAAAAATTTCTTAAAAATTTTATATTAGAGAAATGTTATATATCATTGATTTTCTATCACCTCTTATATGAATATTCATAATTAGTTCATTTGTTTATAAATAATTATTACATAATTAATAACAACTAATAATATATTGTCATGTGATTCAGTGATTCAAAGCGGTGAAAAAAAACAAATGATATATAGCAGCCCGTATATATTATTTATTCACCATTTCTTTTATTTCTTTCTATATCCCTCTCTATATCTCTTTTTATGTGTGTATTTTTATATAATTTAATTGGTTAACTTAAGCTTATATTTAAATATAACTTTTACATCACACTAATTTTTAGTTGCTATTAAATAAAAATTAAGGTAAATTGAATTATGAATTTTGTTAAGATTTTAATTTAGTGGTGCCTTAGCTCCACCACTGATTATATAACACCTGTAAAACTTGGTTAATACCTTCATTACCGTTACGCTCTCTCTCTCTCTCTCTCTCTCTCTCTCCTTTTTTTCTTTTATTTTTTTGGTGGCATAAAGGAGCTAACATGTAATAAATAAATTATAATACCAGAAGTTCTCCTGGCACCCAAAGTCAGTTGATTACTATTACAATAAGGTGCAGTATTGAAAAACTGAATTCCTAAATCTACGCAGTTTCCAATGCTAGCTAGCAAATCAGTAGAATAATTCGCTTCCCAGTAACAATGGCTGACTCTGGTGATCCCCAGCTTGCTCATTAAGTACTGCAGTTAAGAATGATGTTACTGAACCTGTGATGAGTTGTGTTCTCTTTAGCTACTAGGTCAATGGCTAACTTGGCATCCACTTCCACTACTAGATTCTTAAGGTTTTGATCGTTTGCTAGAGTTAGCCCATTTCTTATGGCCCATTTATATACTCAAGGCGTTTCCTCCATTTGTTCCATTTCTTGAATCTCTCTTCAACTTCATGTGGTAGGCGGGATATGAGGCGCTGTCGGTGACAACCAACAATGAATCTAAATTCAAACCAATCTGGATACTTGAGTTCTGTGCCTTTCCATCTAAGTAGCTGTAATATTTCAACGGTTGGCAGATACAACTCAAGGAATTTCAACTTTAATGCTTTACTTGGTTCATTGAGTATTGTTTTCACCTCAGCATCCCACCACTCATCATCTGGGTTCACATCAATGCTTAATTCTTCCAATTCAGAGAGTTTTAATAATGCCTTTGTTGGGATTATCAAGTCCATATAGCGGTTTGCACAGCCACATAAAGAGACCTTGAAGCACGTCAAACTAATTAATTCACCAATTTCCTCGGGTAGGTACATAATTTCAGTTCCTTCAAGATCAAATATCTCAAGATTCCCACGTACTCCGAGTTGGGGGGGCAGCTCCATGAGAAGTGCACAACCTCTCAAATTGAATGTTTGAAGTGATCTCAATCTGGAAATAGAAGGTGGCAAAGACTTTATGCTAGTATAGGACAAATCTAGAACTCGTAGGAGAGGCATGCTTTCAAAGAATAATTCAGGAATTTCCATCAGATCATAGTTGTTATGTAAAATCAGTTTCTGGAGAAATGGGCACTTGGGGTTCTCCGGTAGCTCAGACAATTTATTATTCATCAACTCAATCTCCTTGAGATTAGTCCATTTTTCAACCTTTGGTGTCTCAATCAATCCTAATCGCCCTTGCCTTAGAAAAAGACTCGGTATAAATAATTTCTGCAGGACAATTTTAGTTTCATCCCACATTCGGACATAATTGTTGCCAACCTTCTCTAGCAAGAAGGAATTGATGAGTTCTCCAAGAAGAACATTTCATTCTTTCGGTGTTTCTACTAAATCATCCTTGATCCAATTTAATACTAGTGAATGTGTGCTCCATTGCTGTAGCAGTGCACAGTTTTTTATGCAATGTTTTGTTATAAGGTCCTTCTGATCCCAAATGAGTTTTAACACATGAACCATGACTTCACTTATTCCTTCTTCAACTTGCTCGAGGGAGGACTGTGATGTTAATTCGTGGAGTGCAACATCCCACACACCAATATCAGTCACACCTTTCAAGGCCCTCGCAAGAAGAATGATGGCAAGTAGGTTGCCGTGGCACTCTTTCACTAAATGGATAGCCATTTGTTGGATAACAGAAGAAGTATGAACAAGTGATGGCCCCACATTCCTACAGAATAGTTCCCAGGGTAACAGATGGTCCTCCATTCTGATCTCCAGATCCAAATCCATTATCTCATAGACTTTTTGCGATCAGAGTTGTAAGCACTAGTACAAATCCACAATTGGGGATACCTAAGTCATGTAGATCAATCTGCCCATCATCAGTACAATCCACCAGCAAGAAGAAGTCTCTAGGTAGATAACAACTTAATATATTTGGATCTGTGAAAATCTCATCAGCTTCCTTATATCCGCGAATCTGTTCTGCAATGCTCTGCCTAACATCTTTGGTGCTGTGATGTCGTGAGACAGAGATGCAGAGGACATGCTTGCACTTTGCTTTGATTTCCCATGTATCTTTCAATGCTTTTGCCACTTTCTCAACTCCGCTCCCTGAAATCCCAATCTTTCGATATAAACCATCGTGAAAGCATTTTGAGACCTGCCGAATAGTAGAATCGATAGCCAATTCCAACATTTCATCTGGCACTTTTGCTTCTTCAAATGTTGTACAACCTGCGCTTTCGCTATGTGTTGTTAGCCCAACCTCAATTCTCCGTGTCAAACTCTCATCTGGCCTTATAATAGTGGTATCAGCTTCTTTATTAGGTAAATAAGCCAACATATCAAAATCAAATTCGGCCAAAGTTCTTTCGGTATTGTTTAATTTGTTCTTAATCTGCTGCATTATGATTTTGTTACTTACTTTATTTGAATATTTGTCGGAAACATCATTGTTTGATGGCAAAGCATGTAGTCTTCTTACGTCTTGTTGAATCGAGGAAAAACTTCTATTGCCAAATGAGAATCGAAAGGGATTTGCTTCTGGTTTGATAGGGTATGATAAGAGAAGGTGTAGGAAGTCTTTCTTCCTTGTCAAAAACTCAAATTTTGTTCTCATCTCTTTCCATTCATTTTCTTTTCCTGCCGATGGCGAGGCTTCCCGTTGAGGTACTTTTGATATTCTCTTTCAAGTAGGCTGCTGGATTTCAGCTTAAGAGCCATTTCTTCTTTTCCTTCTTGTTCTTCTTCTTCTTCTTCTTCTTCTTCTTCTTTAGAGGACGACAACTTCCGAGTTGTTGACTTCTTTTGTGAATCTAATAAATGTGCATCCACAGTACTATGCTCGGATGAGCCGCCTTCCTGGTCAACATCCTCCATCCCCAACCAGCCAACGTTTAGCCTTAAAACTGCGAAATACATTTGATAAATTCATTAGTAATACAAGGAGAATTCCCTATCAAATGAAGTTAAATTTGTAAACTATTTTTGTGAAGTCCTCAACTCTTAAATGTAGTGTATTATACAAAAATATTTCCACTAGACCTAAGGTCTCATACTCTCTTTAAATTGAATTTATTACCACTTTTCTTTTAAAAATAATAATTAAATTAGAAGAAAAATTAATAACATAAAATTAAAAGTAATTCTAACTATTTAATTTTCTTTTTTATCCATTTGGAAAATAAAAATATGCAGAAATATAATTTATATAAAATTTATTTAAAAAATTAAATCTAAATAGGGTAAATTACACTAACACCCCCTCAGGTTGAGTTTCATACAAAATCCCCTCACATTCTAAAAATTACATCCACGTCCCTGAAAATAATAGTCACACTACATAGTGCCCCCTCCGTTAGTGTACCATTAGTAAAGTTAACAGATTGGGATGATATCAGCTATAGTATTTTACAAAATGCCGATTTTACCATTAGATTCATAGACTCAATCTTTCCATCTTTCATCTTTTTCATCATTTTCATCGCTCTGCAAATGGGTCCAAACCCCCCACTATCACACTAACCCACTCTACCATCTTCCACTTTCTTCATGTCTCTTCCCTCCACCATCACTGCACTATCACAACACCATTAAAACATCAGTCCCCTTCTTCCACCATCACGACACCATTGTGACATCACTGAACATTAATCCAAGTAGACTTTTTGGTATGTAAAATGGCAGACCTCAAAATTTATCCAATATGTATAAATATATATATTTATATCCATTCTCTCATTATTTAGGGGTAGTTACGTGTAGGTTCTAATAAGTGGATTTATTATCTAATAGGTCCTATAGCAAAAATTTGTCATAAAAAAAGTCACTAATTGTAAGTTTTAGCGACAATTTATAAAAATCAGGACAAAAAAAAGTCACTAATTGTTAATTTTTAGCGACATAAAAAAAATTGTCACAAAAAATTATTTTTAGCGACAATTTTACCAAGACCTCACTACAAGAAAAGGGGGTAAAAAACACGGAAGCATTAGTGACGGCAATTTTCCCGTCGCAAAAAATGGTTTTTTGCGACGGCAGCCTCAACCGTCGCAAATGAGGGCTTTAGCGACGGCATTGTCCCCGTCGGTAATAAGAAATGCGCGGTAGGAAGTAAATGCATCAGTATTAGCGACGGTTATTTTTACCGTCGCCAAAAGCAATTTTTTGGAGACGGCGTACGGTTGCTGTCGCGAATATTTTACATATTGCGACGGCAATTGTCCGTCGCAAATAAGTGTAAGTTAAACGGCGTCGTTTTATGCATAAATTACTTGACATTTGCGATGGTGTAAAACCTACCGTCGCAAAAAGTGAATTTTTTTTTCCCCGCTCTTCATCTTGCCGCTCGATCAAAAGTGAAACCTATATCCAAATCCCTAAATCTGTGAAACCAAGTTCTTTCCCCAAAATCCCTGCGAAGCCGAACAGCGAACGGTGGTGCGGTGGTGCGGCGGTGCTGCGGCGAGGACAAACGGTGGTGCGGTGGTGCGGCGGTGCTGCGGCGAGGACGAACGGTGGTGCGGTATGCTCTCTCTCTCTCTCTCTCTCTCTCTCTAGATATATATGCATGTATCATCTATATATATACGTATATAAATCTGTATCATCTATAAACTACATTGACTTCACACTGAAGGTAACTGACCTAAGCTAAACCATACTCACCTAAACACAACTCTCTACACTTAGAGAGTACCTTTCATCTTCTCCGATTACTCATTCCCACACTGGAGGGGTTATCCGGCCAGCCCCGGCCGGGCAGCTCTAATAGTGCTCATTGCTACAGGATACTGAATCAAGTGCGGAGCTCTGATCCACAATCATCTAGTGCGGTATTTAGTATGCACAATTGGTGCAGTGAACGTGGACGACTTTGTCTTCGAGTTCTACGCTTGATTCCGGCAATGGGGATTGAGGACATCCCACATTTGGCACTGACTCCATAAACGGAGGAGACAAAGGATAAAGGCTTGGCACTCCTGACAGTCTTGGAAGAACAAACCAGGAACAACAATCGGACTCTCGAATCTATTGAGCATCGATTGTCCTTCGCTGGAGGTTCTTCTCATCATTTTTTACTAGAAAAGGATTACAGGGATCGAATCCTTGACTCTATGGGAATGGAGATACAGGAACTAAAAGCACAACTTAAAAAGGTGATGGGTGACCCGACGGAGAAGAGGACTGACGCAGAGCCCTTTCGCCTGCGACAGAGAAGCCCATCCCGAGAACCACCAGTGAAGAAGGTTCCTAGAAATGAGTCTAGGCAGCAAAGCCAGCCAATCCTGGTACAAAGTGAGGCAGCGAGCAGCCACAACCATGGCTCACGCCGGAGAAGGGCTGAGAGGCAGAAAATAGCTAGTCAGCAGACAGAGTACCCTCCTCAGGATCTCCGTACTTGGCTGATTGGCAACAGAGAAAATGAGCAACGACGAGATCACCTTGACCGTACTATCCATTAGAGAGAGCATCGAGCATTGGATCAGCTCGTCTTCTCTCAATTTTCCCTGGAAATTGAGGCCATGAGACCTTCTAAGAAATTCACTCCATCAAAGTTCACGTCATACGATGGGAAGTCAGACCCACTGACGCACATCAGCCATTATCGGCATATGATGTCCTTATGGAGCCGAGACGAGGCACTGATGTGCAAAGTCTTTCCATCCAGCTTGGGAGAAATCGAACTCCGATGGTTCGATCGACTCCCCACTGGATCAATTCATGGCTGGAAGCAGTTCTCCGAAGAGTTCTTAGCCAGGTTTGTCTCCAACACTAAGATCCCGAAAGAGCCGGATACACTGTTCGGCCTCCGAAAGGAACAGGAAGAAACGCTGCGCAATTATGCTAGGAGGTATTGGGAAGAGTACAATGACTTAGAAGAAAATGTTTGCAGTGAGCAAATGGCTATTATGACCTTCAAACATGGTCTGCGCCCGGAAAGTAAGTTGAGACAATCACTTACAAAGCGCCCAGCCACAGCTTTGAAAGATTTGCGTGCTAGGATTGAGCAGTACGCTCGCTTCGAAGACGATCAGATCTCGATCGAGGTAGCGTCAGCAGAACAAATAGCTCGGCACAAAAAGAGACCAGATCGAGGAGAACACCGAGGGATTGCAGTGAATGAAGTGGATAAGTCCAAATCCCACGAAGCCATTGTAACTGTATTCAAAGAGCCAATCTATCAAATCCTGAAAAAGATTAAGAGAGAGCCTTTCTTCGTTTGGCTGCCGAAAATGTTGGGAGATCCAGCTTGGCACAATCAGAAGCTTAGATGCTCCTACCACCAAGACAGGGGGCACATAACTCAGAACTGCAGGGCACTGAAGCAACACTTGGAAGACCTGGTGACAGTTGGACACCTAAGGGATTACATTGATTAGGACAAGAAAGTGACCGAAC